TTTGCCATGCAACGATCATGTGACAGCTAAAAAACCACGACAATTACGAGGATGACGACCCCGACCCACCTGATCCCTGTCACTGTTGACACTTTTGACATGCTAACAAGATGTCAAAACCCAAAAACGATGACAGCTCCGTGGATGGTGACCTCAACCCGCCTGATCCATGTCACCGTTGACACTTTTGACACGCGAAAAAGATGTCAAAACCCAAAAAAGATGACAGTTCCGTGGATGGTGACCCCGACCCGCCTGATCCCTGTCACTGTCGACAATTTTGACACGCCAAAAAGATGTCAAAACCCAAAAAACGATGACAGTTACGTGGATGGTGACCCCGACCCGCCTGATCCTCGCGACTGTTGACACTGTGGACACGCTCACTTACCAGCGCTCGCAGTCTTGTTGTTTACCGTATTTGATTTTACCAAGAAGCGCAAGAGTAGCTGACGCTGAAATATTCGTAGCTTCCAAAAAGTCCAAACGCCATCCACTTAACCTTCAACACTTCCAACTGCTGCGCCCTACTTGTAACCTTTTCCAAAACTCGAAATGTGGTTATTTACAGTGTCGGCTGCCTTTCAAGAATTGCAAGTGTCAAGAACTCCGAACATACAAAAGCATGTAGGTGCTTGCGAATCTGGGTTTCAAAAAGAAGTGGGGTTGGAGAGAAGCACCGCCCTTGCTTTTTCACTTGATAAACGTGGGCAACGGTAAGAGCACATAGAGCGGGCTACGTAAAGTCAATATAAGTTGGGATCAAATTTGCCAGGCCGTTGCGTGCTGCAAAAACAACGAAATAGCGGGGGGGTTGTGGGGGGCGCAGCCCCCCCCCATTTGCAACACAGCAGAACACGTCGCTTCTGGCACTCTTTGACAGGATGTGTTTGCATTGCGCTTGCTTTACAAACCTAGGTTCCCCAATAACCCATGAATAATAAGGGTACCCTTGTTCGTACTGTGCAACTTTAATTAGGAGACCCCAAAATAAAAAGGGCAAACAGGCACTTCTGGGGTACCTAGGAAATACGATGGGGCTTGGGGGCCTATGAGCCTTAAAGTCCATGCGCAGACTACGGACGAAGATCAGAACACACTGGCTTCTTGCAACCGTTGATAAGTTGCTTTTTGCATCGCACTTGCATTACTAAATAGCGGGGGGGTTGTGGGGGGGGCGCACACCCCCCATCTGCAAACCATCGACGACAATCAGAACACACTGGCTTGTTGCCACCGTTGATAATTTTTTTGCATCGTGCCAGCATCACGCAATGGCGGGGGGTTGGGGGGGGACGCAGACCCCCCCATCTGCAAAACATCGACGAAGACCTCAGCTCCTTTGCAACCGTTGATAGGTTGGTTTTTGACTTATTGCATTACGAAAACGCCGGGGCGGGAGGTGGGTGCCATTTGCAAAACATGGTCGAACATCAGAACGCACAAGCTTCTTGCAGCCACTTGTTTTTTGCAATTACGAAGCAGCGGGGAGGTTGGGGGTTTAGAGTTTCGGATTTAGGGTTGTGGGACGAGGGTTTGAGGTATGATTTGAGCTGAGCGCACAAGTCGTTTTTTGTGCATTGGCCCTTCGAGAAAGCACGGTGTAAGTGGCACGTATGCCACAACAATGGCACCCCTAGGTTGACACACCATGCGCCATCCCTGACAAATGTTTTGCCAGCTGGTTTCAGTCAACAGCTTGGGGGTTGCGAGACTATGCCGGACTAGATTTCAAGATGTATGGCTGAGTCGCCTGGGAGCGGTGTGTTTACTCAACGCAGCCCCCACCATTTGCAAAATGTGGACGACAATCAGAACACGCGCCTCTTGCAACCCTTTGACCGATCTGTTTTGCAATGTGTCCGTATTACGAGATAGCTGTAGTGTCCAGTATGCCAGTGTTCCAAGAGGCGCAAATTCTGGANNTTCTGGAACTTAAAACATTCCTCACATTCCAAGAGCTCCCAATGCTGTAATTTACAACATGCGTAGCCTTTCAAGAACCGCGAACACTGTATTTGCAGTTTCCTGGCTTCTCAAAAGTCGTAGCATTTCAAAAGCCACAAATGTCGTACTTTGCAGGGGTCCTGTCTTTTCAGAAGCTCCAAAAGCTGTAACTGGCAGTATTTTTAACCATCCAAAAACCGCAACCAAAGACCAGAGAATCAAGAGCCAGAGGACCAGGGGACCACGGCACCAGAGGACCAGGACCAGGGGACCAAAGAACCAGAGGACCAGGGGACCAGAGGACCGCGAGAAGCTTTCAATGCTGTAAATTACAATATGTGCAGCCTTTGGAGTTCGAAATTGTAGGAAATCCCCAAAGGGTGAGCCAAACCAGGGCAGAGCCAAACCTTGGAAAAAAACCATGGGCCCATGGCCCCAAAATGATTTTAATTGCCAACGAGTTTCGTCGCGGGCGACACCGGAGTGTCGTCCACGCCCAGAACCCGCCGGCCGTGAGGCGGGTCTGGGAGCTGCAGCCGGGGCTTGTATCCGGTGACCCGGTCTGCGAAGCCTGCAATGTTTTGGGGGTTTGGGTTTAGGGGTTTTGGTTTTAAGGTTTAGGGGTTTAGGGGTTTGGGGTTAAGGAACGAACAATACCAAATATGATTCTGACGTCTTCTTGATGCACCCGTACTATAAGTATACTGGGATTACGAACCCGCAACAATTCTATATCTTCTCAGGCCCCTTATAGCAGCTATACGGTTTTAATGGCGAAGCCTTTGCAACCCTAACCCCAAAACCCGAATACCCTTAAGCCTCAAACCCATATAAACTTACCATTGCTCGCGGTATCCACATTTCCTTAATTCTGAAATTGAAGCATTTGAAAATCAAAATGACCTTCCCGAAACCCGAAGTAATGATAATAAGGTCCAACACCCCCAAAACCTAAACCCCAAACCCCGAAACCCGAAAGGATCATTTCCCCTGCGTTTGTCCTTGTGGTCCTGCGGGATCCGTAAACAAGTTCCCCAAAAGGACTCCTGGATCACCACCCCCCCCAATTTGGGCCCTAAACCCTGAACTCTATAAAACAAAAACCGTAAACCCCAACAATATAACCACCAAACATCACCAAACCCTATAAACCCTAAACCCTATAACATGGGAATTGTGGCCCAGAATTCTCTAAAGCCTACACCCTAACCCCGAAACCCGACAGCCCCTCTAAACCTCTGGCCTTTGCCATCGCTCCTGCAGAGTGCGCCAGGTGGGTTCAGTGCTTACCCCAGGCCGAAAACATTCTGAAACTGTAAAAGGGGTTTTGGGTTTAGGGTTTGGGGCACAGAAGGTTGAAGGTTTGTCCTTTCAGAAAATTAACTGCCCGTGACTTCTGACAATAAGCTGGGCTATCGTCCTTCAACGTACCTTCCACTCTCAATCCTAGACTCCAGCCCTGGAACTAAGACCTCAACTACTGAACCCGCCAGCCTAAAGTCTGAATCAAAGTCCTCAAACTCTGATGTACTCGTATCTATATATGAGCTATAGTCTAAGCTCCTAGTACCCCCCTTAATAAGCCTTATAGTAATCACCTATATAATCCCCCATATAACCCCCTTTAAGGAATTCAGACTATGGCTCACATATACATATACATACACATATACATACACATATACATATACATATACATATATATATATACATATCTTGTCCAACTCCCCAGAGACTTCAAACCCAAAGCCATAATGGGCGCAACGGGTAGAGAGAGAGGAGGTGTCAGCTGCACTTTGAGCACATGCATATGCTCGACAAGTACCGCCTACTATTTCCAAGAAGTCCCCTTTGAGCACAAAAGCCTGAGAGAATTGCCTTGGGTTTAGGGTTTAGGGTTTAGAAGCCGTTTGACTGTTCAGAGGTGCCTCCCAGTCTCCAATCCCCTAATCCTATTGTGTGCTCCTGAGACACAACCTCTCCCCTATATCCAGGCCCCTTAAACCCGAAACCCTAAATCCTAAACCCTAAACCCTAAACCCTAAGCCCTAAGCTCTAAGCTCTAAACCCTAAACCCAGGCCCCTCGAACAATCTAGACAAGGTCTCCCAGTTCTAGCAACTCCCGAAACCCTTCGACATGCAATTTGATTTGAAGCTTTCCACAAAATAGGAAACCCCAATGTAGACCCCAATATACCGTATACCATGTTAGAGACCCTCCGAAAAAGGGACCCCCAAACCTTCTATATCCCTACATCAGCCTAGAAAGTCCCAAGATCACCCATCCAAAGCCCCGAAACCCTACACCCTAAAGCCTAATAAAGCCCCTATAAACTTTGAATTTCAAGAAACCCTCGTGTCAGTCCCGGACGGGATCCATTCCACCTGAGGTGGTTCTCGAGGTATCCCTTGGGGCTCTAAGCCTAGGGCTTAGAGCTTAAGACTTTGGAGTTTAGGGGTTTGCGTTTAGGGTTTCGACTTTAGGGTGTAACGCTTTCAGGAGCCTGGTTACTTTGGGCCCTATTTTAAGGGTATATAGGGACTACCTAGGGACATTGTACCCCAATAGTGGAGAATCGGGTGGAAAGGAAACTGTACAATGAAAGGGACACTGGGGCTCTGAATCTACAAATATTCTGGATACGCCCACCACAAACCAAAAATGAACCCCATCGCAAAGAAAGCTTGTCAAAGTAGAGGTAGCGGTT